CGCTCAGCGAGGACAGCAGGTTGCTGGGCCTCCAATGTCACCAGAGCTGCTGAGAACAGGCCTCTCTCTTCCCTACATTAGCCATGTTTACACATTTCACAGGCCAGCACCTCTCCCGTGAAATTGCTGTACTTTGCCTGAAATAGTGTGAAATTGCCCCGATTGATTTGTCAAGGCAGCTTCCATTGGAGCCCTGTTCTCCCTTTTCTTTGCCCAGCAAGGCTCAGCTAGAGAGCTACGCCGTGTTATTTCGCACCATCTTGACTGCATACTTGGCATCTGTTCCCGAAATATGTGCACAGACTCTCCTTTTTAAATATACATATTCCAACATACATATTCCCTCACCCTGCTGGGGAAGGAAACCTTTCGGTGGCAGATAGGCATGAAAAGGAATTGCCCGTGACAGAAAGGGGGAGAAAAAACTCTGGAGCAGCACAGGGAATTAAGCTCTGCTCTTCACGCCCCTGAGTTATGGCCCTAATCCTTGGACCTCTGCACCCAGACCTGTCCTCCCGCATTAATAACGGCCAGCAGCTCTTTTCACACCGCATTCCCTCTAGGAAGGTTCAGATTCCGGTGGGTAAAAGATGCCCTTTTCCAATGGGACGCATGCCATCCCCCAGGATATCTGCTCGCCACGGCCTCCCGCCCCAGGAGCTCGACTCACTTTCAATGGAGTTGTTATTTAGGTAGAGGTGCTCCAGCTTGGGGCTGATGAAGGGGACGTTGGTGAGCTTGTTGTGGGCCAGGTGCAGCACGAGCAGGTTGGTGAGGTTGAAGGAGTTCTTGGGCAGCCCTTTGTCAGAGATCTGGTTGTAGTTGAGCCGGATGAACGCCAGGTTGGGGAACTCCTTGAAGTAGTCACTGGGGATGTCCTCAATGTTGTTCCTGTCTAGGAAGAGCTGGTGGATGGCACTGGGCACCCCCGGTGGCATTTTCCTCAGGATGTTGTGGGCGAGGTTGAGTTGCATGAGGTTCTTGAGTCCCTTGAAGGTGTTTTTGTTGAAGACCCCATCGCTTAGCTTGTTGTGGTGCAGGTCCAAGAGCACCAGGTTCTCCAACTTGTTGAAGACCCCAGCAGGGATCTTGGAGATCTGGTTCCTGCTCAGACGCAGCTGTTCCAGGTTGGGTGGCAGGAAGGCAGGCACCTCCTTGAGCTGGTTCTTCTCCATATAGAGGAAGATGAGGTTTTCCAGCTTCTCCAGGACCCGCCTGTCCACCTTCCGGATGCGATTGTTGTCTAGGTTGACCCATTTCAGCCCGGTGGCGTTTCTGAAGGACTCCTCGGGGAGGTCGTCGATGAAGTTGTTCTGGAGGTAGAGGTAGTGGATGCGGGACGGGATGATGGGCACCTTCCGCAGGTTGCGACTGTCACAGTAGAGGGCAGAGGGGAAGTCCGGAGGGCAGTAGCATTCCCGGGGACAGTCAGGGAAGATGGAAGGAGGACCTGGCGGAAGGGGCGGCGGCAGCTCTGTGGGCTCCACGGGCTCCACCGGCTCCGGGGGCGGACGCGTGGGTTTCCGGGGAGGCTTCCTGCGCTGCCCGCTCACCTCCGACACCAGCACAAGGAAGAGTGGGAGAAGCAATCTGAAGGCCACCTTCATGGTCCAGGTATTTCCCTGAAGGAGGCAACAAGAACAGCTGGGTTAGGAGCAGCCCGATTTGGGCTCTACGTCACCTCCCGTCTCACCCAGCTCCAACAGACAAGAATTCACCCCACATCTCAGCCTGGCTCTTTTCTCTCTGCCTGCCAAGTGGTGTTGGAAGCCACAAGACCTTTCCCAAGGCGGTTTCTTGGCTGCCATGCGCCCCGTGAACTGCATTGCTGCTCGGTGACACGGGTTCGGGGTAATTGCACTCGCTCAGCAAGAGGGAAGGGAGCTGCACAGAGGTCCCAGCCCTGCAGAGAGCCGGGGTAATAAATTTGGCAAAGGACAACACAGCAGGCAGGAAAGCAGAGAGCCAGACAGAGCAGAAATCCCCCCGCCAGCTGGGAAGTGAGCAAAAGATGGGCCAGAAAGGACATTTCCCCACTTCTCTCACTCGAACAGGAGGGTTTGAGCTGCCGCTTCCCTTCAGCTTTGACAGATGGTGTCACCGACACGGCCACCTCCGACGTGAGGCCCGCGGCGGTGCCAGCGCTGCCGGGCAGAGCCTGGATCCTCTCCAGAGCCCTGCTGCCACCGCCACCGATCCCAGAAGGATGGATCGCCTCCTCGGAAGCGCTGATGGATGGGGCTTAATTTTGCCGCTGAGCCAAAAATCAATGGTTCAGTAGCAAATTGGCTGAGCGACGATAGCAGGAGGCCAGCAGCAGTTAGCAGGGCAGTGGTGACAGCTAGTGCAGTGCTTTGGGGACTCGGCTTTCGTGCAGGCCAGGACAGCCCCTGCCAGGTGGTGTGACAGTGAGGACACCTGCAAGTCTAAGCACAGGAACTGCTGCATCCCCTCCTGTCCCACCGCATGATGACGGACCGGAATGACCGTCCCAGAGGAGCAGTTGTGGATCAGGAGAGCTCCCTGCTTGCTGCTGGCCCAGCAAATGGGGCTCTGAAACAATCCTCCCTCTCCTGAACACCAGCACAGCCCCTTCCCAGGCTCGAACATGCCCCATATCTTCTTCCCATGGAGGAATCCAGCTCATTGCAGCAGAGATGCCCAGAGAGCCCCATGCAGAAGGTGCTTTGGATGCTGACAGACTCCAGGGAGCAGCTGGAGGCAGGATGGGCTCCACGGTTGCTGTGGAGGTGCCAGACGCCTGGGGCACTTGCCAGGCTTTTTCCAGGGGTATTTGTCACGTGGAGGGAATGGAGCCAAGGTAGATGCACAGTTGGGTAGATGGAAGAGCTCAGAAATAGAGCTGGAGAAGGGATAAAGCACAAGGAGACAGGGAGGAGGTTGGGGAGTCCTGGGGAAGGATGGACTTTCTGGGACAGAGCACCGGACTCTCCAACAGGACATGCAATGAGGTAGGGATCAGCTCCGCACTTGCAGATGCCCACGGAGCTGCTTTGAGCACCAAAGGAACCCAGGGAAGCAGGAAT